AGTGCCTTGAGATGACACGTGTTTTAAATTGGTGCTATATGAATAAACTGAATTTAATCGAATTGTATGCCCGACTCGACAAAAACCTAGTTCAATGCCCGAACGCCACTGTTTGTCTGCCAATGGGCCCATGTTTGGCCAGATTATCCTGTCACAAATTCAGAACAGAGGACCCAGTATTCAAGGCCAGCAGATATTTGGATAACTCAAAAAGCATTTATTAAGACCCCACTGTGATGCTGTCTGGCTGAGGGAAAATAAGGTGGGTGGGCATTAAGCAAAGATGCATGCTGGTACAGCATATAATGTATGTTGAAAAACATGATAAAATCTTATGATGATATTGTCACTTAGCTGCAGCATTTTTTTTTCAATCAGAGATGTTTCAGTGTAACTGCAGAGTTCCTTCACCTACAATGTCACTACGAGGTGGCATTGTTCTGGTGTAGGGGGTTTGGGGAGCTAAACTGAAGGTTATGGGTCAGAGATGTGCACCTGGATTACAGCTTACTTGGTAATAACAAGACCCGCATCAGGGACTTCCAATGGGTTCATCCTGATTAACCTAAATGTCCAAAGGAGCTGGAGCTTGAAAGGCGGACACTACATGCACTGCTAATGATCCTGCCTTTAGTGCATCCTAATCAATAATGCTCTCTGGCTAATCAGCAGCTCCAGATGATCAAAATCCTTAGCGCACAACACTCTTTCTTTGTCTGCCTGATTACATTTTTGTCCCCCTTCCCTTTTCTGCTTTGCAAATGTTGGCTATTCTTCTGGTTTCTGATCTTCAGACGTAAATCTTGTTTCTGCATCCTGACGCCAAGTTTGTGCCTAACCCTTGGATGTGTCAGTATGAGTCAACCTACTATTGTTCGACCTTGTTTATGTGCAACAACTGAATTAAGCCAGACCCTCAGATCCTGTCTCCTACCTCTTATGAAATAAAAGTTTCTCAGATTCAGTCGCCATCTTTCTCACCAGACCATCCTTTCCTGCCAACCTTGTGGGTTAGTAAACCTAAAAAAATTTGCCCTGTGTTGATTGCAGCTTGGTTGGATTCCAACTCTCGTCTTAAACCAAGTATTCACATTTACATCATATCACTTCCACAGTGACATCACCCTTCAGAACTCAGCCTGCTACACTCAGAAGATTAAATTCAGCATCCCAGGGTTCTTGGAAGGTTAGTGGCTTTATACCTAAATTTTACCTCGTCCACTAGTTCATTCTCAGTCACTGACCTATATCTGTCACTTCATATGTTCCATATCCTGGTGCTGGTGTCTTACTAACATTCTATCAAACACACTTTTCAATACATCTTCAAACATCAATCTGTTGTGTCTGGCTAAATGTTGCTTTTATTAAATTATGTTTAAAAATCTGGAATATGTTGTTAGGAATCCAGTTTGTGTGGGTTGTTTGTGTGTTTTTCTCTCTCCACCACCAGGTAGTCCCCTGTCCTCGATGGGCCTCCCTGTACACCTGCGGTTCGTTGGATCATTACTGGAGGAGTATTTGAGCAATGGGCTGTCACTACCTCGACGCCAGAGTGTTTGCCAGTTTTGGGTACTCTAGCCAAGCTGAGATTAGCTGAGTCTAAACTAAGCTTTGTTTCTCTGAGTCTTATCAAGTTTTTTCTCTTTGCTCTTTGGCAGAAAGCCTTCCTGAGTAACTGGATACCTGGACCTTTTCCCCCTGGAAGGAAAAGCTCCACATGATCCGTTCAAGTCCTCTTCGAAAATCCAAGTGACAGTTCTCTCCTTTACTCTCCTTAGTCTGCCTTCAAATTGTTCATCCTCACTCCATTTACACATTAGATGCCCCTGATTAAGGTCATTAGCTGCATAAAGACACCTGTCCGCCTCATACAATCAGTAAGAACTCAACTACTAACATGGCCGAGACCAAATAGCAGTCCAAAGACACTAAAGACAAAATTGTACACCTCCACAAGGCAGGAAAGGGCTACTAACAAGCAGCTTGGTGAGAGAAAGGCCACTGTTGGAGCAATCAGAAAATGGAAGAAGCTAAACATGACTGTCAATCTCCCTGGGACTGGGGCTCCATGCAAGATCTCACCTCATGAGGTCTCAATGATCCTAAGAAAGGTGAACACTCAGCCCAGAACTACACGGAAGGAGCTGGCCAATGACCTTAAAAGAGCAGGTACCATCGTTTCCAGGGTTACTGTTGTTAATAGACTAAGATGTCATGTTTCCCTGCTTAAATCAGCACATGTCAAGGCCCATCTTAAGTTTGCCAATGACCATTTGGATGATCCAGAGGAGTCATGGGAGAAGTCATGTGGTCAGATTAGATCAAATAGAACTTTTTGGTCATAATTCCACCAACCATGTTTGGAGGAAGAATAATGATGATATCGTCCTAACATCCCTACTGTGAAGCATCATGCTTTTGGGGATGCTTTTCAGCACATGGGACAGGGTGACTGCACTGTATTAAGGAGAGGATGACCAGGGCCATGTATTGCGAGAATTTGGTAAACAATGACAACATGACAATGACATAAAGCAAACAGCCATGATGACCAAGGAGCGGCTCTGGAAGAAGCATACCGGGTATCTAGGTTTTGGCATTGCCTAGCCAGTCTCAAGACCTAAACCCAATAGAGAATCTTTTGAAGGAACTTAAACTCCCTCCAAAACCAGCTGGATCCTGCCTGACTGATCTAGAGAAGATCTGTATGGAGGAGTGGGCCAAAATCCTTCCTGCAGTCTGCAAACCTGGTGAAATACTAAAGGAAATGTTAGACTTCTGTAATTGCAAATAAAGGCAATTGTTTTGGCTTTGCCTTTGTTTTGCCAATATTACCAAATATTAATGTTGATGTTCAAACACTTACAGCTGTATCAATATATGTTAATAGTTAAAAAATCATATATTGTGATTTCTGGAACTTTTTTAGAGTATGTCTCTCACAGTGGAGGTTAGTATGGGTGATTTTTTTCTGCAAAAAATCAATAGCACACATTTTCAATGTGAGACCAAGATTTCCTCTTCTTGCACTGAAAACCTGTAATGCTCACATTGAAAGCTGCTGCTTTCTCCTAAATATATTCTCTGTTGCATCAAATCTTTGTTTGTGCTCTCGGATATAATGGTTCTTGCACAAATATCTTCTCATCTCGTTTAATTCCTTCTCCTCGTGTGAAAAAACAGTTTCTGCTTGAGTCTGAGATTCACAAACCTGCTGGCTCTACTTGTAGATTTTATTTGCTGCCGGATCATCACCTAGCAACCTTTCCAGCCAATAGAAAGACACCCTCAGAAGGAGTGCACTTCTTTTGTTCTACTGAGTTTATCTGTAAGTGCTTACTGACAATAAAATAGCTTTTCAGTATAAGTTTTCATAAAATAAAAAAGCATATACTTGACTTGAGTCGAGGCTGGTTTGCGTGTGAGGAGAAGGAACTTAAAGAGAGGGGGAAAAAACTTTTGTGCTAGAAACATTAAGCCTGGGAGCAGAAACAAAGATTTGAAGTAGAAGAGAATATATTTGAAAGTAAGCAGAAGTTTTGAATGCAAGAAGAGGAAACCCGGCTCTCAAATTGCAAATGCGTGCTCTTGATTTTTTGTGGGAAAAATACTCCATAGGTTAGCATATAGACTTAATAAAAGTAGTTCAGATTCCAGTTTTTTAAGAAAAGGGTACAAATAAACACCCGAGCTGGTATTACACCGTATCGATTAAAGCAAAGCCCCGAGAAGCTGTGGGTAAGAGAGATTGTACAAGGGCAGGAAAGGACATGAAGCGGATGGCAAAATCCCTGTAACCTACAGATTAAAGCAGTTTATTGCTTCTATGAAACAGTTACCTTTCATATAGCCCAGAAAAAAAATTAAATAAACACACAAACACAACCTGCAGAGCTGCACAGGACGTGATCTGAGATGGATCATTTTTCTCTATCTTCTTCCTCTTGGCCTCTTCTGGGCCATGTGAGTCCATCTGGAAAGATACAGGTTTTATTTCAGAGGTAAATACGTATAGTTTACCAAACACGCCAATATTGGAAAACTCAGTCCATGCAAAGTACAAAGTTAGTGAAACCTACTCCACACTCTGAGGCCTGTCTCTTTTTCAGGTTCGAAGGTTCACCAGAACTCTTCTCATCTTTTCCAACTTGATCTCCCATGGCAGCCCTTCCTGGAAAATGAAAAAAAAAAATGTATTCATATAAAATTTTGTTGTTGTCATTGTAAGATGTTCACATATGATAGTAAAGGTAATTTATGAAGCAGCATTCATGAGAAACAAAGCTCTGCGGGACAATAAACTATTTTTAAATTTATATATTGTAAACTATAATTAAGTAGCACAATAAAATCATAACATTACAACCTGGTAGAAAAAAACAGCTTACGCGTGGTTTTAAAGACACCCAGAGAATCAACATGTTCAAGCAGCAGAAGCAAATTAATCAACATACGGAAATGTCCATTTTGCCCTTAGTTTTTAACCCTAACAGAAGAACGGCCTGCCTCTAGATTTGGAACCTTAGGCTTTGAGCAGCAGAGGATTTTAATAAAAGCTCACGTGAATAATCAGGAGCTCAAAGAGTTAAAGCCCTGTTGGTGAATCAGGGAGGCTTTGTACCAAACTCTAAAGCCACTGAATTGAGAATAAGACTGGGGTCTATGAGTGCACTGACTGGATTTAGTGGGAAGTCTGACAGCTATATTCTTCACAGCTTCAGACGTGAAATGGGTTATCTGTCCTGACCGGTCAAAAAGGGTTGAAGAAATAACAAATTCAAAAGTAATGTTCTCTAGGTCTTCTCAGGAGACCCTCTGTTAAGTTCAAAAATGCTTCTAAAATTATAATAAAACACCCAGGAAATAGTACTGATGTGTATGTTAAAGCCTAACGAGGAATTATAAGTAATTCCATAATCAATTTTAGAATGCAGCTTACATAACCGGACAGTACCTGTAGAACCAGCCAGATTTCTGGGTTTAATGTTGATTCCAGTTTATCCAGCTCGTGGTGCTTAAGAGATACATAAAATCATATTATCTGCAGAGATGCGATACATGTCAGAGGAAGGACAAATTATGAAAGAATATTATCGAAGGTTAAAAGAAAATGAAATCGGTCCCAAAAACCAAGAATGATAAATCTTCCTCATGCTGCAGGGATTTACTCCTAAAGGTGAGCAGAGTTTTATACATCTGAAGACAGAGAAATTGCTCAGAGTAATTTTTTCTTGCAAATGTGAATACAAGAAAATGAAAAAAAAAGAAGTTGCGCGATCTCGGTTGAAAATCCGAGAAGGTCTAGCACAAAGCCTTTAGAAATTATACTACACACTAGGATAGTGGTTGATTGGAGAGCTCAACGGTTTCTGCATGAAGGAAGGGACGTTGTTGTATTCCCAATAGACACAAAAGATACCTTTCTGAAAACAGAGTCGCACGCGGTTCCAGCCAACATAAGGTTTGGGAGCTTTATCCTGGTTTCTCCATAAGAGAAACAAAAGAAGCGGGCTGAAGAGAGTAGGGATGCACGATATTGGGATTTTGGCAGATATCCGATATGCCGATATTTTAAAACTCATGTAGCCGCTAACCGATGACCGATATACCGATATACCGATGTTAAAGCTAGACAAAAATAAGTAGTCATTGAAAATAGCAGTTTTTTTATCCTAATCAAATATCGGGTTAAATATCGGTGGGGTGGCCGATGTCTGATATTCAGTTTTAAGGCCGATACCGATAGGGGGCCGATTATATCGTGCATCCCTAAAAGAGACGGCAGATATTAGGTTGAGTTTTTCCTGTTTTTTTTCGTTACAGAGAAACGAAAAGAAGCTGAGCCCTCTAACACCAGCCAACATAAGGGTTGAAAACTTAAGCCTGTTCATTCCCTTAAATGGATAACAAAAGAACCGAGGCTGAAAAGACTGCCAATATTACGTTGAGCCTTTCCTGTTTTTTCCCTTATGGAGAAATGAAAAGAAGCGGAGCCGTCTGATGCCGGCCAACATAAGATTTAAGATTTTTTTCCTATTTTTCTGTTACAAAAAATGAAACTGACTGAGGAAGGATACAAGTTGAAATGGAACTTTTACTTTTTTGTGAAAAACGTTTAAAAAAGAGGAACCTTACCGCTGTTGCACAGCATGAATGTCCATTTTTTGTGAGTTTGTCGACTGGCCAGTGTATATATAAAATCTGTTCATTAGTAGAGTAATTAATTCTAGTCAAATGCAGAGCAAACCCTTATTCCATTATTTCTGTAGAATAATAAAATCCAGGTTTGAAAACTCTAATATTGTATTTTTTTAAACTAGAGCAGAATGAAGTATCTAAGGCAGTAAAAAACCCTGTATTAGCTATCAAGCAGTTGACCAAATATTCAGAAGCAACAATCATAATCCAATTTCAGCTTAACGGCTCTTTCCACCATGCCGTCATCGATGCTTACATCATGTAGTTATCATCATGCAGATAATTCATACAAATAGTTATAGTAATTTAAAATACCGTAGTGTCTTCTGACTTAGATCCACCCACTGATTGGTTTCTGTTCATGAAACTCTACCAAGCTGTTTCTTGCTGGCTGAACAACCAGGCAGTCAGGTACCAAGAGGAAGACTAATCAGTGTTTGGGATCAGCCACTGGGTTGTAGGTCCAATCTGCTGATGCTAATTGGCTGACACAGTCAATCAGTTGAAAAGAGTCTTTATAAAATAAAAAGGTGATGAAGATAAACATCATTATGAAATAAGGGCTGACTTTTTCAAATAAAAGCCGCTGAAATTAGGCAAACAATTATTTTTTATATCAGGAAAAATGTGTGAAAGTAAATAATTTGTTTACTTGCATTCAGTTATTCCATAATTGTGTTGCCACATTCAATATTATGTGTTATTTATTAAAGTGGATGTTTATTTCCCAATGACTTATTTAATTTATTTTAAAACCTTTGGTGTTCCATTCTCCCATCTTTAAAGTCCTGCAACACTCACTGCTCCCGACGCTAAAATCATGTTGCTGGTCCTGTCCATGCTCCTTCATTTTGTTCATCTCTGCTCCGGAGTCTTGGAGTGTCTTAATGTCCATCTAAACACAAACACCAGAACACAGGGATCTGAGACAAAAGTACATAAGCACAATTATCCACTCTCAGGAGTACAGTCATACTTTAACACATCTCTGCAGCTTTTCTGCTGCTACACACTAGGGCTGTGCACAGCCCTAGTGTGTAGCAGCACCTAATTTCATCTTTACCTTTGAAGTTAGGGCTAGGGGGGTAAGCCTTAGTTTAAACTATAACCCTAACTCCCTTTATACATAAATCGTATCCTCTTAAACATAAATATCATGGTTTTGGTTATATTGTGCTTTACTTTGCTCTATGTTTCCTAGTTTTATTGGTTTAATTCCCTTTTTGTTGTAATTTCTAGATTTGATAGTTCTCATGTTTTTCTGTTGTCCTCTATTGCCCTCTTGTGTGTGTTCCTTTCCCCTTGGCTCCCTCGTTGTCTCCTCTCACACCTGCCCCTTGTCAGCTCGTTAGCCCTCCCTTTGTCTCTATCAGCTATATATGCTCTCCCTATGCTCTCACTCTTTGTTGTTTCCTTGTTGTTGCTGGTCCTGTTGTCGCCGTTGTCCTCTCACCTCGTCTCTCCCTGGCTCCTTGTGCGTGTTTCCCTTGATGTCTCCGGGGTTCTGGTCTGAGTTACATTTTAGTAAGATTTTTGGATTTTGCCTCTGTTATTAGTGTTTTTTTTATTAAAACTACAAGAATTCACCTCAGCCTCTCTGCCTCTGCATTTTGGGTCCTCTTAACTACAACCAAGACATGACAATAAAAAATATTAAGTCCTACAAAAACCTTCTGGCTGTAGTTCAGCTGAATTATTGTACATTTTATGGGACGTATTATCTATATATATATATAAAGATCAGGTGTCCATCACAATGTATAATGATTTAAGATATTCCTCAGCTCTAAACCCACCCATTAACCCTTCAGTGTCTCACCCTCAGCTAAATTAAAATATAATAGAAAATGATCTTAAAGAAGTGGTTCTCACATTAAAAAATCATACAACTCCAACTGGTAAAAATTAATGTTTAAAATTAAATGTCGTTTACTGAACATAAGATCTCTTGAAACAAATTGTAAACAACTTAATTTGTGATAATAATCAGATTTTCTTTTTAAGAAACTTTGGTTCTCATAAATAAAATCCCAGCTGACCTATTAAAACTTTTCATCTTTTTATTAATTATGGGTTTTTTTTTAATCAATTTTCATTCTATTGGGTATTTAGTGTATCTAGGTTACATTAGCTTAGTTCAGAGTTTTTAACTGAAATATTCTTAATCTGAATTTTAATTATTTTTCTATAATAAATTAATATATTTTGCATAGAACTTGTGAATTTACTCCATATGTGTGCGGGCTGTTTCACTGCGATCTGAGCTTGAATCGCACTTTCTGTTATGATTCTGGCCTGTCTGCCTGCTCTGCTCTCCCTGTGAACAATCATCTCCAGCTGCTGCACTGCAGTGTAATCAGCAGAATGTCTCTCACCTGTGTTTAAGCAGTTATAAGGCAGCCTGTGGCAGGCAGACAGGGCCAGATAATTGCAAACCAACTAGCAAGCATATAAGTCTTTGCTTCACGGATTTTCCCTTTTTGCCTAGCCCCTTTTTGGATTTCTCTGCCCTCTGGACAATGACCCTGTTTCTGCCTCTTGACTTCTGCCTACTGTCAAGCTCCCTGTTCACTAAGCCTGAGTCTGACTTCCAGGACCTAATTCCTGCCTCTGTGCTCCAAGCCACCCAACTGTTGGCCACCCAACAACAGTTTAAAGGAGGAATCTGCTCTATTCAAGCTGCTGATCTTACTGAAGGGAGGACTCTTTTAAGGTTAGTGGTTTTGTTGGTTTCATGCTTTTCATTATTTGAACTACTTCAAGCCACTAACCTAAATCTCCCTTCTTACCCCAGGCTCACACCGACTCCGGTCTTACCGTTGCGGTGCGGTGGGTGCGGCGCCGCAGTGATTCCAAGTCATTAAAAAGACGTAACCCTCTCTCACCGGCTGCTGAGCTGTCCGGCTGCGGTTACCGAGACACTCCGGCGCTGCAGAAAATTCCGCAAGAAAGCTATCCTTGCGGCGTGCCGGAGCCCTCCGCAACAAGCTCTCGCAAAAATCCTTTATTTGGGCCGTGTTATCGCGTGAAGTTACGTTAACTCAAGTGAACTTCTGTCAAATCTCCGGACCTGTTGCCAGAGCCGCAGAGCCGCACCGCACCGTAGTCAAAAGGGCAGTGTGAGAGGGGGTGTGCGGGAGTTGCGGTCTCCGTCGGCTCGGTAACTGCACCAGAGCCAGTGTGAGCAAGGGGATAGAAATCCCTGGCCCACGGTGGATGTGCTCCTGAAGTCCTGAGTTTTTAATAAACTGTTTAAATCCTTATTCTGTGTTCTGGCTGAAACTTTGGGTCTTCTGACTGGATCATTACACTTTCATCTGTTGTCCTAACAGTCAAATGGGAAGGTGTTCAGAAAACACATGGCAGTTTGGAAGTTATTTGATTTCCTGGAAAGTAGCCATTATGAGGTGGGTTGCTTTGTCTGCTCAAATCATTTCAAAGTTACAAAAGTAGACATAAGAGCACAGAAACAACTCGCATGAAGAAGAGGCAGGCCTTGTATGCATGGATATCAAACCACACATGTGCAGAGAAGGAACAAGCATTAATGTGTGTGATATGTAGGGGTCCCATGTTACTCTGTGTGTGCTTTAAACAAGCACGTGATGCTATCTTTGTGAAAAGAGAAAACCCATTACTAAAAGAAATTAGATAAGACTTCCCATTACTATTCAAAGACCAATCAACGAAAGGCTCCAATAATCCAGAAGAACAAGTGGTGGCTATTTGATTAGCGTCTGAACTGGAATGTGTGCAGGAGGATGAAGCTCCATGCTGCTTCAATACATCAGCACTCCAACTACAAATTGCTCTGGTGAAAGCCAACAGAATGACAAAGACTCCTGGATAGGTGTCGAAAAATCTTAAACTGAGCGAAAGTCCAGTTTGAGCCCATTTGTTGTTGCCATGACAGTGATGACTGAGAATTGCAGATGTGGCAAATAAGGAAGAGAATTTAAATGAACAGTGGCTCCAGGCTAGAGCCCTGGGGGACATCAAAGGTTATGTTATAGAAGCTAAATTTGTGCAGAACATTTCATTGATTCAATAGACCAATCACATAACCCATGCTGAATGAAAGGCTCAAATAATCCAAAAGCACAAGTGGTGGCTATTTGATTAGCATTTGACCTGGAATGTGTGCACAGGGGTGGACCTCTATGCGGCTTAAATACATCAAACATTCAGTCAAACATTCAAGCACAAGGGTTGGGAACTGGTGTTTAGACCAACCTTGGTCATTGTAGTTTTGTCCGTAGAGTTCAGAGACACTATGCCCTTAAAGACATTCGTCTTCAAATTGTTGACCTGAACCACATCTCGGACTGATATCCCATTCAAGTGTCTGGTGTCGTCACCCCACAAACTGATTTTGATGGATCCAGTACCGTCCTCCAGTTTAAAGTCTTGCTTGTCTTTCATCATTCCTTTATCTTTTTTCATTTGGACGGTTTTCACATCATATATCTGTATCAACCCAAACAAAGAAATTCAGTTGATTCTTTAGGCAAAAGAACAAATTCAATAAGCTTGAACCTATTGTAACTGAATAATCTTCTCATCCGATTTAAAAAAAAAAATACAAAACAGTCATTTCTGACGTTTGAAAAAACACCAACGTGAAAAAGGTCCCAGTGGGTCACAAATAGTCTGTTTCACAAAGCTGCCATCTATAATAACCAAAACCTTCACCTATCAGACTCGTCCTTGGAACCAGAGCTATTTAATCAATCAATTACTAAAAAAGCTGACGCCTGAAGTCTGTAGATATCTCACCTGACATCCCAAAAATTACCTCTAGCTTTGGATAAGACCGTTATGTTTAAGCAGCATAATTGGAGTTTCATTTCATAATGACAATCAAGATTTTTTTGTTCTTCACATATGATGCACTCTTACCTCCTTTATGGTGCCTTGAACGCTAACGTCTTTTTTTTGTGTGGACATTTTCACATCTCTGATGGGGAAAACTTTTTCTGCTTCCATGTTGTTGCCGATATTAGCCTTTGAGATTGCGGAATTTTGTCCAACTTTGACAACCTTCTCCTGCTGATCCACGAGAGAACGATAAGAACAATAATTAACAAAATTCAAACAAAAATTATCTCAAAGAGATAAAGGGTTAAAATACTCTGAGGTGTTTTTGAGCACCAAGAACTTTACTCACCACAGGACACTGAGTTTTAAACCATTTGTAATTTATAAAGGGTTGTATTAGGAAGACCAAAAACAAGTAAGTCTCTATAGACAAAACTAAAAGTGACCAGAGTGTGAACAAGAACTTTATTGGAGTAAGGAATGAGAGAAAGGGTATAAATATAGCACGAGTCCCAGCAAAGTTTTTAACATGGCAAGTGAAGGAAAGGGTTTTGTTGAGTATAACAGCCAGACCTTTGACTAGAATCAAAGATGGACACTGCATGAAAAGTGGGATTTTCGTCAATATACGGCACTGTAGATTGTCGTGGAACTTCAGGTTAGCGGCAGTATACGGCAATTTGCAGGCTTCGCCGAAAACTCCCGTAAATTGTCAGAAATTGACGTGGAATTTCTTAGGCAGTGTTCCCCCCATGCCTCCCCCCCATGGAATTCTAGGGGAGGCTTTAACATGTAAATGAACATGCTGTGAGCTATACAAATGCAAACCAGGGTTGCAGGGGGGGTTTTATCCCCCCTGCAACCCTGGGTAAGAAAATCTCTGATACAAAGAGATCAGGTATAGCCTCTTACATTTTAGCTTGAATTGATTTATTTAATTAAAGTATAGAGACCAAAACAGATCTTTAGCTGACAGAGCAATACATTTAGAGCAGTAATTTTTTTTTTTTAATTTGCATTTAAGATAAAAAATAAAATGTTGTCTGTCAATATGCTCAATTCACAATTACTTAAGTGGAAAAGTTTCAAGAAGTGATTCTGAGATGATTCACTTTATAACATGGCGCATTATCCTGTTGGAAGTAGCCATCAGAAGATTGGTACACTGTGGTCATAAGGACATAGGTCAGCATGCTAAATTGGTTTTAAGTGGCCCAAAGTGTGGCAATAAATATCCCCCAAATAGATGGTAGAAATAGATCAGGCTCAGTATAGCCTAATTATAGACTCTTACATTTTAGCTTGAATTGATTTATTTAATTAAAGTACGCTAGATTACTGTGTATGCAAATGTTATGTGAAAAAAAATACACAAAATAATTTAATAAATTAGTTTTAATCAGAATCAGTTGGCTGTAATGTTTTTTTTTTTTTTTAGATTTCCACTTTTTTTTTTTTTTTGTCATTGAATATATAAGAAAACAATAACAATCTCAAATAACAAGTCAATAACAAATATTTCAATACAAGAAGAAATATCACAACTCCTGCTTTTGAAAAATAAAATTAAATGCGCAGGCTGGAACAAAGTATAAAATAAAATAAAATAAATAAAAATAAATAAAATAATAATAGTAGTTAAAGTAAATTAATCAGTGGGGACTACCAACTGAAATTCTTCAATTAACTCAAACAATTTAATTGCATTTAAATTCTGCATCTTTCTCAGACATCTTTTGAAAAGGGAAAGTTCATTTTTGAGAGCAGAGATTGAGAGGGAGCATTTTGCATAGCGACATTTATGGATATAATACTTTGTTACAATTATTAGAATATTGATTAAAAATTCCAATTTTTTTTTCTTTAATGGATAAACCGAATTGAATATTTTGCCAGGAAATAAAATCTAAATTTATTGTTTTAGAAGACAGAAAGGTTCGAAGTTGATCCCATAAGTTTAATACTTCTTTACATTCATAAAAAAGATGTTTAGTTGTTTCCAATTGAGTTGTACAAAAGCCACAATTCTCAACATTAAACTTAAATCTCTCCCTTAAAAACTCATTTGAAGGATATATGTTATTTATTATTTTAAACTGTAATTCTTTATATTTAGGAGGAATTGGGAATTTCAAATAATGTGTCCTAATTTTGACTATCATAGATTTCTTAAAATTTTGTAAGAGAGCTGTGCTTTTTTTTCTTCCTGGGTACATATTATTTATAGAATATTGATTCAAAAACTTGTTGTTGCATTTATTATCTCTAATGTCCACCTGCTCAAATTCAATCTTATGGAGACAAACAATTGCAATTGCAAACAATTTATAGGTGCATTACCGCCACCTTCCAGAATGGAGCGACGCAAGCTCTTCTCGCGAGTCCTTCCGTATAACAATGACGTCGTATGTGATTGGAGGAGCCTGATGAGCCTTCGGCCCCATCGTCCAATCACGTGTGAGCTTTTGTGCACTACGACTTCTCGCGAGACCAGCATATTAGCAGACATGTTTGTGTTGTGAACTTAATCTCCAGTTACCGTGTTTGTATTTTGTTGTTACGTGAACAATGGCTGCACGACGTCTCGCGTTCAACTCGCCTCCAACTGCTCTTAGTCCACAACTTTCGGCCAGCCCGCAGACTGACGAGAAGAAACTGCTGATTGCTATGAGCGGACTGTCTCGTCAGCTTGCCCAACATACTGCCGACATGAATGAGCGCCTCACTCAGCTGGAGAATTCGATGCTACGAACTCGAGGAAGAGAAGACGGGTGCACAACGCCACGCTAGCAGTAAATATATGTTCGATTACTGGTAGCTATGCTAAAAGCAGCCTAGCTTAGCTAGGCAAGCTAATGACAACCTAGCCTAGCTAGGTAAGCTAAAAGCAGCCTAGCCTAAAGCTTTATTAAAGTGTATTTTTTGTGATTCACAGGAAGCAATATGCCGTCTTAACAACTCGGAGACTAATTGCAGGCGCTATGAACCGGAGCAGGGGTAAGGTTTAAAGAATATGCTTTCATTCTGTGGTAAAAGGACATGGATACGGATGGATACCGACCATAGCTGTACTTTTTTTTTTTTTTTTTTCACAGACTACAGTCGCCTCACAATGAGGCGGTGACCTCCTATTTGCTCGGATTTGCACGATGTTGATAAAGACGACATTGTGTGTAAGTGACTTGTTTTAATGTTTTCTCCTTCCTTGTTACTGTGACTTGCGTTTGATTTTTTTTTTTATTCATACCACTCTCATTTAATTGTTTTCCAGCTGCCTGTAAGACGTATTATGAGACGGTATGCAGGAGCTTCAGATACACGCTGCTAGCCAGCACGCTGCGTGCGGAGGCTGCCAGGCTATCTGCTCGGAGTCGGGCCAGAAGAAAGAGGGTAAGACTTTATTTGGTGACTATTTTTCAGGTGCATTGATAGATGTGTTGTGTCCATATGCAGTGCGCTGATTCATGTTTTTTTTTTCAGCTGCTGAAGGCGAGGCAGAGTGTGCTGGCAGATGAGGAAGTGGAACTCTGGAAGTCCGCCACCGTCGACCTCATGTCCGACGAAGAAGATGGCGTCGTCGGCGGTGTCTCTGGATGGATTGTACGGTCGCCGCCATTTCGTAGGCCGGATCTCACTGAACTCTGTGTTAAGCTGCAGTCCCGGTTAGAAGCGATGCCGAAGTACAGGGCCACGCACAGTAGGCGTCTGCACATCGGACCTGCCTCGGAGGGAATGCTGCCAGTTACCTCCAACCTCGAGGAAGCAAACGGACCGTTCACGGAGTTGTAATTTTTAGATACGCATGTGTTTGGATACGCGTTGTATATAGTTGTGTGTGTTTTAATAAAGCTCTTTCTTTGCATAAACAGCTTCCTGGCAAATCTTCATTTCCTGTATAAATTCATTCATGTCCTTGATGGTAGCATAATAATTGTGTAGTAGTGTAGGATAACATAAATACACAGCATATGAATGAACAAATATATGAATGCATAAATATATGAATATATATATATATATATATATATATATATATATATATATATATATATATATATATATATATATATATATATATATATATGAATGAATAAATATATATATGTAAATATATATATATATATATGCCAACCAATCACGAGCGACTTTACTTGTTTAAAAAGAAGTGGTTCCGTCCAATACTCAGTAAGAAAATTAAAGCCTGGCGTGGCCATGTGTGGTTTTGCTGCCAATCACGAGCGATTTCACTTGTTTGAGAATAGTGGTTTCAGCCAATACTGAGAAGTTTATTCAAGCCAGACCTGGCCAGCCGCGCGGGTTTGCTGCATTCATATGCTAATTAGGGCCATTAGTACAGCTGATCGCTCTCCACATACGTCACGGTACGTTTCCGACAATTTGTGGCACGACAAACGCGGACAAGCACGGGTTGCAAATTGTCGGAAACTGACGAAAATCAGGCAGATCTGCGGGAGTTTACGGGGGTTTACGGGGACGAAAATCTCACTTTTCATGCAGTGGGAGTAGAAAATTCAATATTAAATATGAATTTAGTTTAATTGAAATTTAATTTTACGAAATTTGAGGTGAAGCAGGGATTTATATTTTCATAATATTGACAATTTCCCTATGTTTAAATCAATGCTGTTCCAGTCTGCAGTATTTCACTGACTGCCTCCACTGTTTTCAATATTGTCTATATTGTGTACTGTAATAGTTTGTTGATAGTTTCTTATAAAGTTACTATTTGCAGATATGGTGACTAAGGGAGAGAATGTAAATGATGAACAAAGACTCCTGGATAGAACCCTGGGGGACACCAGTGGGTATTATGTTTAAAACACTAAATATGTGCAAAGCATTTCAAACATTCATTCAAACATCCAAATACAAGGGTTGGGAGCTGGTGTTTAGACCAACCTTGGTGATTGTAGTTTGGTCCGTGGAGTTTAGAGACACTATGCCCTTAAAGATATTTGTCTTTAAATTGTTGACCTGAACAACATCTCCGACTGATATCCCATTCAAGTGTCTGGTGTCGTCACCCCACAAACTGATTTTGATGGATCCAGTACCGTCCTCCAGTTGAAAGTCTTGCTTGTCTTTCTTCATTCCTTTATCTGTTTTCATTTGGACGGTTTTCACATCATATATCTGTAGGAACCCAAACAAAGAAATGCAGTTGGTTCTTTAGGCAAAAGAACTAATTCACTAAGCTTGAACCTATTGTAACTGAATAATCTTCTCGTCCGATTAAAAAAAAAATACAAAACGGTAATTTATGACGTTTGAAAACTAAATAATCTTCTCATCTGAGTTAAACTCTTAAGCCCAGTGGGCCCAGTAACGGGCCGAACCGACACCTGCTGAGGTTCATCCATTTTTAGAAATGGCCAGAACACAGTACCATGGTGTTTCATTCACATGCATTTCAAAATGCGGCTTTAAATTTTCTAAATGCTTCAAAAATAATTTTTTCACAATTACTTTTTGTTCTATAGCTGTGTAAACAAATAAAATGAGATTTAAAATTCCACCTGACATGTCTGACTCAGGTGAGACAGCATGTAGGAAAGTTTAAAATGTCTATTAAAACAAAAACAGACAGAACAGAAGCGCGTTGCTGTGAAACTGCGACCGCAGCGACTGCAGGGGCGGGGCGCAACCCATCACTGATTCTGGTTTAACAGTTCAGTCCATTTTCTGCATGATAGGCAGGTTCCATCCGATGGAGTCCCAAATGGGATCCAGTGCAGAGCCGTCCAGGGTGTCCCCGATCAGAGCAGCAACCACTGAGAGCTGACAGGAGACCGATCCAGGTCAGAAATGGACAGTTTTGATCAAAGGTACAGATCCATACAGGAACAGAACAGAAACGGAGGAATCCAAAAAGCTTTCAGGCAGGTTCAGAGTCCAGAGTCATACAGGTGCAGATGCCCACACACACATGCACAGAAGGAGAGAGGCGGGCATGCTCAGTGGTTGAGGGAAGCAGAGTTGAGACGTTGTGCCAGGATTTATGCAGGACTTTAAACTGGCCTCCTCCTTGGAGCCAGGCTTACGGGAATAAAACCGAACTCCCTGCGTTCCGAGCTAAAACCCTGAGGGCTCTACGGAGAGGGATCAGAACAGGATCAGAAGACAAGACAAACACGAAACCTCTCAACTCTATGGCCGCCAGGAACCAGGTTAGGAGCCAGGGAATAAACTAAAAACAAAACAGAAAAAGGGAAAACAAATAATGATCAGGTCCCAATCGCTCGGGCTGAACCAAATACAAAGCAACAGACGCAGGTGGATGAGATGAGCGATAATTAGAAAATGGGGCAGAGGTAGGCAGGTGAGTGAAATGAACAATTAAGGTGAGCTATCAGGCCAGATTATGACACGTATTAGCCAGCATCATTGGAAACTAGAGGCTCAGTACTTTCCACGAGGTTCTGGACATAATTGAGCAACTGTTTCAGGCGATGTAAAAGGCATGTGTAACATATGCTTGCTGTATGCGTAAAAGCTCTCAGGATATCAGCAATGTGCTTGGTTCACTTTACGCACGATGTTCTTCTGCCCCAAGGATCTCTATATAATTTTATTTCAATAAACCATGATGGCACAGAAGCTTTGGAGGAAATCTGGCGGACCAGTAACGGTGAAATTCAGAAATCGTCAGACAGCAGCAACCTTGATTGTGAGGTGCGGGGCCCCGATACTGCTCTAAAATGGTGGCAATGGTATTGGCGAGTACCAACAAATAGGGCACCGATACCATTTTGAGAACCAAAAGTTTATTCAACTATTGTCACCCATTCCAGGTAGGAAATACAAAGTTCTACTGGGTTCACTTTGTATTAGTCTATGTCCTGCTTCACAAAGGTAGGCAGCAGCTTGTCAAAGCCATGATGGCAATTATTTTACATCCAAATAGAATGCAGTTCTTCATATATATACAAATACATCAATTTCAAAGAGATGGTAACAGTATGGTATCGGCCCATACTACACAGAAAGGTACAGAGTATCGGTATTGCGCATCACTAATTGTAATAAACTACTTTGTTGTAATGAACTACTTTTATTTATTTTTATAGTCCAGAGGATGTCCCAAGACCATCACAAATATAGCAGGCCAGGTCCCCTGCTACAGCTGAGACTGCATTCTCTTCAAGGTGAGATTTCCATTCTGCAAAGACCTGAATAGATACATATGTTAGTCCTGATGTGTTATAACATCCGTAGGTTTTTATTCCTATGGTAATTAGAAGTCATTGTCAGATGCAGCTACAGTGTTATTGTTTTTAGAGGAAATATATTCTTCAACATATATTTGATTGGTTTAACAGCAATGATGCTCCAGAAGAGGAGTACCAGCCACCTTCCAGGCAGCTACGTTCAGCCTCAAGCCTAAACATTGTTAGGAACACAAATCAAAATGCAGAAAGGATACTAGCTGGTGGAAAGAAAATTAAATGGTCACACCTCACAATTGAAACATTTTTAGGACATTTTTTTACATAAACATTGCATGAATAAATATTTTGCACATTTTCTTGATAGAAGCTTCTGATTCCAGTTTATTTTTTTTGGGATTTCTACTTCTTGTTTTCAATAAAATATCCCTGTTTGGTGACAAAAATTATACAATTTGTCTTGTTTTCTATTCAATTTGGTTATATTATTGTGTGTTTAATGCTAAATTTCAATAAAACAATGGCTAAATCGAAAGGTAAAGGGCTCCAATAATCTAAATCAGCATATTGTCTGGTTAGATTCCCTTTTATGAGTGGAAAAATGCATTTGGCACAATTTGGCCAATTTTTGGCACCACTGTCCCAAAATCACATTTCCACCTAGCACACTGCTACTGCACTACTAAAACGTTTGTGAAAAAACATGCTTCAGCTTATTCAGTCCAAGTTTGCTTGAGTTATAGTCAAGATGTGGATCTACAAAGTCTGAAGGTTGGTTTGGTGAGGCTAAATATTTTTAATTTTTTCTTTCTTTAATCACCTATAAATCAGACATGTGACATTTAAAATAGCGATTCCACCTGAAAAATATTCCTCAATGACTTTCTGTTATACAAACACAAACAATTGTATTGACAATTTATAGTTTGGGAGCTGTACTTAATTCACATATGTAATTTCAGGCGGAAATTGCTCCTAAGACCCTCTGGGTTTAAAGGGTTAAAAAATACAAAACACTAATGTCTGACATTTTGAAAAAACATCAACATGAAAAAGGTGCTAGTGGAACAAAAAGAGTGTTTCACAAAGCTGCCATCTATAATAACCAAAACCTTCACCTGTTAGACTCGTCCTGCGAACCAGAGCTATTTAATCAATAAAAAAAAAACTGAAGCCTGAAGTCTGCAGATATTTCATCTGACATCCCAAAAATAACAATCAAGATTTTTTTATTCTTCACAACTGGTGGACTCTTACCTCTTTTATAGTGCCTTGAACACTAACATATTTGATTTGTGTGGACATTTTCACATCTCTGATGGGGAAAACTTTTCCTGCTTCCATGTTCTTGGGGAGATTAGTCTTTGAGATTGCAGTATTTTGTCTAAATTTGACAACCTTCCACTGCTGATCCACGAGAGAAGGATGAGAACAAAAATTAACAAAATTAAAAAACAAATGAATTAATTACAGAGATAGATGTTTAAAATACTCTGAGCTATTTTTGAACACCAAGGATTTTACTCACCAATTCAGAAGCCATTATCTGAAAAATCAAAACGGTTTATTAGAGGAATGACTAAATCTGAGGAAAAAGGGGAAAAAAATGGTGTCATCTTTCCTGGTTTGAGGACAAACAGAACGGGGCTGCTGCTCTATGGATAAAAGATTCTAAATAAAAGCAAAGTTTAAATTATATTAAGAAATAAAGATACCAAGTCTGATGGAAGAAGAGAGAGGTCCAGAATCAAGATAATTTTATGTCTCTTTATGCTCTGACCCAGCCACAGTCTATGCCTTCTTCTACGGTTCGGTTCACGGTTTCGTGTTCACCTTTTTCTGTTCGGTTCGGTATATTTTGATTGTTAGGAAAATCTATTATGTCTTGTATAGTATAACACGTGTTGCACAATGCTTGCACACTGTTGCACTTTTATCCACAACTTTCTTTCCGCCGTCATCGTAGGTCACTCTAAATGCAAAGTGGTCCCATAGAGCAGACCTATAAAGTGCTGCTGGCGCGTCTTCCAACTCCTACTTTTTCCCACTCGCCATACCCACACAATTCTCCACAACAACTGATTTTTTTCTGCTACACCCAGCTACGCTGCTTCGCTTCTTCTTCTTGTTTACTACTGGTGGTTGGCTTTGGCCGCAGTAACGACACCTTCTGCTCTGGAGTGTACACACTTTGCCTATGGGAAAAAGGAGCAGCGCATGAACGGAACGCAACACATGCGAATCGAACCGAGACAGTCCAACCGAACGATTCGGACGGTTTTCATAAACCATTTCATCCCTAATATATATATATATATATATATATATATATATATATATATATATATATATATATATATATATATATGTATATATATATATGTATATATATATATATGCAGCCTGAAAGAAGGCTGGAGGATAATACCAAGGTAACAAGGAAAAAAGTGAGTCAATTGACCAAGGCTACAAGAGGCTACAAAAAGGCAGGTACCCAAGAGGTATAGTCAGATGCCCATACCTGAAGCACTGGAAACTGCCAAATAAAGGCTCCAAGCCTTGGCCAGATGCCTAAAGAGATACACGGGAGACGATGAAGCCAGACGGGTAAGCCGGCCGCTACTCAACAAGAGAAAGCTCAGTGGCAGGGGAACAGTATTAGAACGACCCCACCAAGGCTGGAAACTGAAAGGTACTGGCAAGGCATATCGGAGAATGACCCAGCACACAAAAGGGAGGACCACAGCAACCTCCCAGTCAACATCACAGTTGCAGACATCCAAGAAAGAGTCTCAGGCATGAAAAACTGGACAGCACCAGGCCCCAACATGATACCACCTACTGACTCAAGAAACTCACGGCTCTTCACAAACGATTGGCAGCACAAATGAACCAGCTGCTAAGAGATGGAAACCACCCTGAATGGCTAACAGAAGGGAGCTCAATGCTGATTCTGAAGGACTGCCCAAAGGGTACAGTCCCATCCAACTATCGGCACATAACCTGCCTATCCACAACGTGGCAGCTCATGCCCAGGATCATAGTAGCTAAAATAAGTGGGCACATGGATCAATACATGAGCACAGCTCAGAAAGAATTGACAAAAATACCAGAGGTGCCAAACACCAACTCCTGGTAGATAGAACAGTCGCTCAAGACTGCAGAACCCAAAACACTAACCTAAGCAATGTCTGGACTGGTTACAAGAAAGCCTAGAACTCAATGCCACATACTTGGATCATTGAATGCTTGGAGCTATACAACATCAACATGACTCTAGGAGACTTCATTGCAAACTCAAAGAGGTTATGGAAAACCAACACAGGTCTCCACCAAATGTGGCACTTACCAAAGAGATGCACTGTAACCACCGCTGTTCTGCATAGGTCTGAACCCCCTCAGCCAAATAATCAACAAGACTGGCTACGGATACGGACTCAGGAACCTCCTCTACGTGGATGACATCAAGCTATATGCTAAGAATGAGCGATACATTGATTCAGTGATCCATACCACCCAGATCTTCAGCACAGACATCGGGATGTAATTCGGACTTGAGAAGTGTGGTTGGATGGTACTGTAACTGAGAGAGGGAAGGTAGTCCACACAGAGGGGGTCTCACTCCCAGAAGGAACAATAGCAGACATTTAGGACAGCTTTAAGTACCTTGGAATCCCACAAGGAAATGGCAACCTCGAAGAGGTGACAAGGAAAGCAGCTATTGTCAAATACCTCCAACAAGTAAGGCAGGTCCTAAGGAGCCAGCTCAATGGCAGGAATAAGTCTCGGGCAATAAGTAGTTATGCTCTTAAGACAACAAAAATAGAAGAATTTAAGTTTTGATTTTCTAAACCTCTGATTTATTTAATTAAAAATTTAATAGGCCCATATAGGCTAATATGCACACAAATCATATAACTGTTAGACCCATGCTGTCGTGCACAAAGTAAATAGTCAAACTAAATAAAAGCAAAAAATATCTGAATAACTGATTTCTATATCATTTAATTAATTTTCTATTTACAATACTAGGAATAATAAAGGGTAAATTATTATTTGGATTAAATATGTGAGTTTTATGTGCAACAGATTGTAGTTTAAGGATCGTGTTTCATTTTGCAGAGATGCCAACTAAGTACAGGAGGTTCAGACAAAAAAAAGGAGCTGTGTGAGGCTGCAAAAGGCAGTGGATCACTCACCTGCTGGATGACAAAGAGCACAAAAAGATAAGAGTAACACTTGCACCACTTATTTACAGATATATTCAGTTAGAGAAAACAACAGTAAAGAGTTGTTCTGCTACATTATCGATCATCGTAAGAGGTGTTAATTAGATTGATCCAAGAGGAAAGTGTGCCTGGTTTTCAGATTTACATGGAGTGGAAACCTTTAATCTTGAAGTCTTGTTTGTGTTTTTAGCTTTGAATTAGCCACTTGCTTTTAAGCAGCCAGCTTTGGCAGCAGCCTCTGTCAGCAAGTAGTCTCCTGCAAACCATCAGCAGTGAGGCAGATCAGTCACAGTGAGCCATATTTAATGTTAGTTATCTTTGCATCTTGCATACCATTTGTTTAATAAGCTACTATCTCTCCTACACTATCAGATCAATACAGCCCACCTCCAGCAACACAGCAGCCCCAACCCCCTCAACAGAAGCTGTTTGATCCACCCATTAGGTAAAACACAGACTCATTTCACTTTGCACTGACCTCTAACAAATATGTATGTGTTTTATGGTGTGTTGTGATTCCATGTTACATTCTTTATAGTGTGCGTTGGTACAATTCAACCGGTTTTATAGCAACATTTTATTTATTATTATTTTTATAAATTATTATATTATATTATTATCTATTTATTTATTATTTATTGTTTTTGTATCGTGTTTTAAATCCGTGCTCCATGTGCCCCCTTTTAACTTTGAGCACCTGCCCCTCCAGCAGTCTCTGCACGGCCCTGGCCTTGAGTATCTTGTGATTTATTGTGAGTCCAAGCAAGCCGGCTGCTCCTTGCTCAGGAAAAAATAGGTCAATGGCGCTGAAGTGTGGTGAATATTGTAAGTGCAGTTTAGTATAATACACGTATGAGAATAGATCTGTCTGAAATTAATGCAAATAGTTGTTTTAAACGGGTTATTGAGTCAGATATTTGGCAGGTAATGCTTGGTTTATTGAAAAGTTTGATCTGTCCCTGTGTAAATGGTTTGGTTGATATTTAGGCTAGGGTGGCCAAATGTCCGTATTTCCCGGGACAAATCCGTATTTCACGTCCTGTCCCGGATGTCCCGGTTTTTTTTTTAGAAAGTGAGGAAATGTCCTGATTTTTTAAATAACCTTAATTGGACCATTAAATTTACAGGCACTAGGGCACTGCGCACGACGCTGCATGTGACGTAATCCCTGAGCCGCGTCAGTGCGGGCAGCCCTGTTCTTAATCAGAGGCTCTGTTCGAAAACCTGGGCTGCATCCTCCAAGGACGCGGTCTACCTAGACTGGATCCTTCGAAGTCCTTGAAAATAAGGAGGCCGGAAGAGTTTTGGCTGTGAATTCGTATGCTCTGTTGCTTAGCAACCATGAAAGTTGACACACAAAGCAGGAAAAGAATGAATACCAAGGTTATCAAAACTGTTTGTTTATTTGTTTACTTTTAAAAAAAAGTTGAAGTGAACAAAGACTACACTCACAAGAATCCAGAGTGGAATAAAGATTCCAACCACCGGGAGCAGGAACAAATCAAATCAAATGTAATGATAGAAACCTTAGTCAGTTAAATAACCTGCTGCTGTCATTTTGCACATCTCTGATGTTGCTGCTATTTTCAAATATCCATTACTGTAAAAATGTCCATAGCTGCATATTGGTTGTTTATTCTCCAGTTTTATATTGTTAAAACACTTTACAGAATTTTATTTTTTATATTTTAACTCTTCCCTATTATGTTATTCTTACAAATTTTTCTAAGGTCCGCATTTGTGTGACCATTTTCAATAATCTTTCTGCTGCTGTAAATTTGCCCATTGGGGGACAATAAATGGATTTTCTATTCTATAAAAGGGTTAGAAATATATAAGTAAATCTAAACAATGTACGTACAAAATATATCTGCAAAATCTGTAATATTCACCAACAAAAAATACTTAGTTAAGCATATTGTGCAAAACAGCAATAAAAAAATTAAACTCCTATCAGATTTATAGTCCCCACCCTGCAGATATATTAGAATCTGTCCTTAAATTACAGCCAAACCCATTTACACAGTAACAGATAAAAACATTTAGATAAACCAAACATTACCGCCACATATCTGACTCAGTAACCATTAAAACAACTATTTTCATTAATTTCAGACGGAACTATTCACAGAGTTGAATTATAATAAACTGAACTTCCAATTTTCACCACTGTTCGGCGCCAAGTAACATTTACTCTGATCACGGAGCAAATCCCGATGATGAGACATTATTTCTTTCATTGTGCTATTTATTAATTTTGAATAAATACAATAAAAACAGAGTCCACCCCCCCACCCCCACCCACCCCCCCGTTCCAAGGTGTCCTGGTTTTGCAAAATGAAAATATGGTCACCCTAATTTAGGCACAGATTACAATATATGTGCAGTGTGGGGACTATAAATCCTCGAAAATGTTATCAGCACCCATAACAGCAGTCAGAAGTGATGGAGAGTTATTGTCAATGGATTATTCAAATAATATATTTAATGCCTAATTCTCATCCAATGAACAAATTATAACTGATATCCCAAAAACACTGATCACTTTAGTTCAAGGCTGCCTCAGTAATATTCCAGTTCCTAAACTTAAAAATACATTTATTGTAGGAATCAATATAATCGACGAAAAATGAAGAAAAAAAAAATCTTAAAGAAAAGTGTCAACAAATATCTTATATCCTAATCCAGTTAAAGGACTTTTATTTTTAAAAGAATATTTTAAAAAAGATATCTGTGCATTGAGAACCACATATCTTTATTACATTGGCTTTTATTTGTTCATGCTCTCGGTGATTGGCACCTTTATTCCACTCTGGATTGTCATGAGTGTGGTCTTTGTTCACTTTACAATAATAAAAAAATAAAAGAAACTGCTTTGTGTGTCAACTTTCACGGTTGCTAGGCGACAGAGCGTACGGCGGTAAAAAAAATAAATAAATAAATAAATAAAAAAGTCGCGATAGCCAAAAGTCTGTTTGAATCCACAGCCAAAACTTCGAAGGATCCAGTCCGGGTAGATGCACCCTTAGAGGCTGCATCCCATGAATTAGGACGCAATCTATAATTGTCTATGTGCACCTGCTTGAATTCACAGCCAAAACGTCTCTTATTCTAACAGCCCTCGAAGGATCCAGATAGAGCGCGTCCTTTGAGGATGCAACCTCTGAAATCGAACTCACCCATTGACATATGTCTATGGTCCCGTTCAACATGCTCTTCATAGCTGTTCGAGTGACACTTGATGGATAGGAGTTAGTGGTTAGGAAAAGTGGTTAGGTTCAGCCAAAGAATCAGAATCAGACATATTTTAATAATCAATGTGCATTGCGGTGCGCGTTCCCGCGACAGAACATAGGCCTACACATCTATAACAGAAAAGCGGAAGACGAGTCCGAGTATATTATTATTATTATTATGATTATTATTATGATTATTATTATGATGATTATTATTATTATTATTATTATTAATTCACAGGACTTGACACCTTCCAGAAGAAATAGCTGTTGTGAAACTAAAATATATTATTTTAATGTGGAAACTTGGACAAAAAAAGAAAAAATTAAGTGAGCTGATGTAAACCTGTGACCAGAACTGATGGGATCAGAGAGAACTGAAATGGTTTTAAGGAAACGAAACCAAACGCAAAGCTATAAAATAACCTAGAGGACTTTAACCTTCAGTTAATAATCAGGAGCTGCTGAATCAGAGCAAAAGTAAAAAAAAAAAAAAAAAAAAAAAAGAAAGAAAGAAAAGAAAAAGTAATTAAAGTATGGATATTTTTTTAGGATTAAACAGAATTTGATTTAAAATAAATCAATACTTTTATTTAAAAACCCAAAGCTTTGTCTGTTACTCACCAAAACTTTTTATCACTAAAGTTTTCCTCTGAAAAGGTGATTTCTGTGGCAAAAAGAGTAAAATATTTTACTCTTCTTTGCACAGGATTTTAATTTAGCTCAGTATCTCTTCTATCTGCTGAAATCTCACCTCCACGTCCAATGGCAAATCTCTTTTCTCCTGATTTCCACTGATTTTCCTTTAAACTCGGAAATCTATATCTATCTTTAGTAAGTATAACTAGTGGCTCAGTAGTCACGTTTTTAGATTAAAGCTTCAACTAATCTGCTCAAATTTCTCCACAGACTTGAGCAAAGCGGAGCTCTAGTAAAAAAAGGCGCCTTTTTTTTTCCAATTGTCGCGCTGCACTGTATGGATGACCAATCCTGCCATAATTAAAAATACATACAGAAATAAATAAATGCTCCAAAAATAAATAAGCATACAATTCATTCCTCACAAAAAATGCAATAAACAAATAAATGTAGATAGAAATCTAATTAATTAGCTTCTTTCTTTTTCCACCTTTGTAATAATTTTCTTATTTATTTATTGTCTGTTATAATTATAAAAAAGGGTGAAAAGAGATATATACATTTATGTCTCACTGTATAAGTTAATTTCTATCTACATTTATTTGTTTACTGCATTTTTAGGGGGGAATTAATTGTATGCTTATTTATTTTTGGAGCATTTATATATTTCTGTATTTATTTTTAATTATGGCAGGATTGGTCTACCATACTCCAGCCCTCCCCTCCACAGAATAGGAGGAGGTGTGAAGCTGACACCCCACCCACGTCAAAAACTCTACAAGTAGACTGAATGGTTAGTGCTATGTTGATGCAGATTTGTCCATAAAAAATATTGTTTGTGCTACTTTTGTTTAAGTGATATTAAAGATAATTTTTTAGGTCATACAGAGGTCACCATCCCTCCATTAAACTCCGATTTGAACCAAAGTAGTCTCCTTTTTTAGTGCTTTGTTAGTGCAGATTTGTGTGGTTAAAACTAACATTTATGCTGCTTTAATTTCCGATTCAAACGATATGCTCTATAGTTGCGTGTGATCAATCGATTACACATGTGCAACAATTTTCACCTGCTGCTGTTTGTTGTTTTAGGCCATTTTTGATCCTGTAAATTCTTGTCAGTAATTTAGTGTGGGAGAAAGGTCAATTATATGTCACTGCCAACACTGGAAATAATACAAGTCTTTTTAATATATTTCTACTGATAAATCAGTGACATAATGATGAATTTGTCATTTACTGGGCCTGTTTTCCCTCTACAGTGTCCTTATTTAGTTATTTACATATTACTGCCTATTGGCAAAGATCTCTGGCAAAACATGTTTTCATAGTGCTTTTTTTCCCCAATTTCCACTGTTATTAGTATGCTTGTTTTATACAGTGGCTTGGTTGCCACACGCTGAAAAGAAAAGTAAGAGAGATTATTCAACAACAGCAGGCCATGAAGTGAGCACATGACGTAGGCGGTTTCCCACCTCATGCATCTCAGCTTCCTGACTGATGGGAGAGGCTGGAATAGTTTCTGTGCAGGATGACTGGAGTCCTTCATGATGTTCTTCATACCAATTTTGGTACTTTTTATCATCAAGTAGTGTTTACATGGTGTCACTAATGTCACCTGACTATGCTCCACATCTAATTCAGTAAAAAGGGGTCAAGACTTTCTGATAACCACACAATATGTACTCTGCTTGTCCCTTTTCCTTTACAACCTGTTCACCCTTTCTTTGTTATTCCTATTTATCCTGATTGGTTGCTATTAGTCTGTTTTTATATGGTCTTGGTTATGTGTCAAATTTCCGCTTGGTGGGATAACATTATCCCACCAAGGGATGCCTCTTGAAGAAGCGAAGCAAATGCCTCTCCGACGGCATTTGCACCAATGGAGCTGTTATCTCCTGTCAGAACTCCTTGGTGTAAGAAGATGTGGCCACTTTTCTCAAGAGTTAATTTCATATATTTCTTTTATCATGCAATTTGTTTTTGCCCCTATTGTACAATTTTGTGTTTTATATTGTTTTGTACTTTATTCCTTAATAAAGATTGACATTTGTTTTGTCTCATTTAAAGAACTTTGCTTTAGATAGAAATCTCAGCTAAGCCACCAATACATTTACCTTTCTCAACAGAAATGTAATATTATCCTCTCACAAATACATGGGGAAAAACACACATGCTGGAGCCTACACATATAACTTGCTTGAAACCTCACGATCTGCACGTTATATTTTTAAAACTTCTATTACTATTTTACCTGTTACTTATATTCTATTTCAAAATAACTGTGCTTTCTTTGAAGTTGCTTTTGATAATCGTATTCACATCGTTGACCATTATTTTCCGCAGATTTAGCAGCAAACAGGTTTAGTGGATGGACGGTGGAAACATGCAAGAGGAGGAGAGTTTTGTGTCGGAGGTCGTGGATGAGTCTCCTCCCTTGTACATTTCTTATTTAGAGGACGCCAGGGCGGCAGAAGCTTGGTTTGGCGTAGAAGGCTTAGAGCCGTACATGTTTGAGCCCTTCCCTCGCAACGCTGCCAGTTCTGTTAGCTCTACGCCTGCTGAAGACACAGACGTCCATCCCTGTGAACACTGGGATATTAGCTGCGACATATGAATCAAGATGCTATGACGGAAAAAATTTTATTGACAGATGACCATTGATATATGATTGGCCGAATTTAGGTGTTCATATAACTAACTGGCCTGCATAAGATAACGGGAAAAAAAACCCACAGACTTTAAGACATCATTTTTTTTTTTTTATAGAAATTTTCTAACTTTTGGGACAATATTGTCTGATAAAGGGTACATTTATATACATGTTTAAGCCAAATGAGCTGACATTCAAATATGACTTCCCCACGACTTTAAATACAATTTGAAATGCATCACGGTTTGATTTAAATTTTCTGACATTAAATTTAAGAATTTTTAAAATGGCATCGAGCATTTGGCAAATTTGATATATGAGTTTTTCCATGATGTTATGGTACTTTCATTCATATGGCAGAACATTGAAATAAAATTACTCCTTACTCTACTTTTAATTTTATTATTGGAATTTGCATATAAAATGCGATTAATCATGAATAATCAGGGACACTATGTGATCAATTGTGATTAGAAATTTTAATCGTTGCCCAGCCCTAATTATTTATTTTCTTGGTTCAACTTTTTTGTTTGTTTTGCTACCTTCTTTTATCCTAATTTGTTTTTATTCTGCTTTTATTTATTTTTTCTGTTGTATTTCCTAAATCATGTGAAACACTTTGAAATGTACCTGTACTGGACTGAGATCTACAAGTGTTAGAATAATTGTATATAAATGTATCTGTCTAATGTTGTAATGCATTAAGCTATGTGCATCTGATCATAGCAACCTTTTCTAAAGTATACTGTGATTTGTGGACTTGCTTTTGGGGAGGTTGTGGTTGATTTACGAGCAGCATTAAACCTGCTGAACTTTGGTCAACAGCTACAACTACTTAAACTTTGACTGAACCTTGAAATTTAGAGGACATGTCAACTGAGACTGTAAGTCTGAATTCCTTATCTTGTTCCCCCCCTTTAGTGCAGTCTAAGCTGTTGTAACTAGGGAACCCCTGACTTCAATAAATTGCGAGGAGGATGCTGAGACAGAGCAGATTGGGGTGGAGATCTGTACTGTGCGGTCTCTTCCTACTCTCCTCAGCTACTCTTTTCATATATATTCGCGTTTTCAATCTAAATTCATTTATGTGTTTGTCCTAAACATGCTGCACTGAACCGGTTGGAGAGGGTCTCCAACCGGTTCAGTGCCAGATGTCTGCCTTGGAGTCCTTCCACACTGTAATGACCATGTAATACAAAAAAACATAGGTTTCCCCTTCACTGGAATGCTATGCAGGTATGTTGCCAATCTAAGATGTAGTTGCCTTCTGTAATTGGTATTTTAACACTAATGAAGTGGCTCTGGCACGTCTTTCATGTGCAGAATAATGGCCAATAGCAGCAGGTTGTCATTTAAACTTTCATAAACAAAAAATAAACAATAAGTAAATAAATGAACTGTAAATAAACACAGTCAAAAAATAAAAACATAAAATAAACTATAAACAAACCACACCAGCTAAGTATTAAAAGTGTCTTTGTCTGATTTCAGATTTTTATCTTCAAGCTATAAAGTGGTAATGTAAAACATTAATTTCTTTTTATAAATGCTAGATCTAGAGTAAATACTTTTCATTTTTATGCGGTAGGGTTTCAGATATAAACCCTGAAGAAAAAGGACATAGATTTTCTATGACTAGTTCTCTCTTATACTACCATAATTTTTTAGGATTGCTACCTTTAAATTACACTTAAGTAAAAATACGATGAAGTCGTGTTATTTTTACATTAGCACATTTTTTTTGTGAACTTTACCAACCTCTTTAATTGATTTCTTTGCCTGATATCACAATGTCCATGCCTTTGCAGGCCTCTAATTCTCAAGGGGCCATTGTCAGCTCTGTAGATATTTATTACATGTTTTGCAAGGAATATATATTTAAGCAAAGTGGTTTGTAGCTCCAGAGGGTCAATCATACATGCAACATCCTGAGTAGCCTGTTTTATTCTATATAGTCCCTGCAGACAGGGGCGGATGCTGTTGCTTATGCAGATTGCAAAGAAAGCAAAAATATCTTCTCAAAAATACTTGTTCATAGTTTATTTGTAAAAAGAATTCTGACGGAAAAAACAAGAGAAAGTATAATTTTATTCATTGATTATAACTTTTTATTTTGTTATTTAATCAGGTCTCTTCCATTCGATGGCACCCTGGATGAGTGCCTGTTTGATTCAGTTCGATGGAATTATACTCCTCTGCTCCTGCTGATTATATGCCGCGGCTCTTGACGCTTGTTGTTTAAGCCACTCGGCTCTTCGTGCTGAAGTTCTCATAATCCTTTAATTCTTTATATTAAAGTCTTTTTCAAACCTGCTGCAGAGAGAGCATATCTCCATTCCTTAAAAACAGAAAACACAACAGGAGAAAATATTACAAACAGAATTTTTCGGCGTTTCAAACTTCATAGTACAATTTATTATTCCAGCATACATTTCTGCATTTCCCTTCAACAGTCAGATATTATTGTAAATGTATTCCTTTAAAATTATCTTCAAGATATTCCTTAGAAATGTATTTTAAATTCAAATTAGGCCCCAAATTACACACTTAAACCTGAATTAAGAAAATGGGACAATTTTGGGCCTCTTAGAAAAATGATTA